ATAGTATATAAGCCCTCAAGTCTAACCACTTGTCTGGGGTTTTCACTTCTTGTTTATGAAATCCCTCATGCCACATAAAAATAGTAACATCAAATAAAATGTGTATGCTTTTCTCCTGTTAATCTGTCTTTGTTGGTTTAATTTGTAGACCTCAGTAAAAGAACATAAGAGGCTACAGGATAAATTTTCCCTCTTTTACAAAGTAAAAAAAGGATTAGAAAATGATGGCTTTTCTGTGATTATCACATATGAAATGCTGGGCTGGAGAGATGACCCTGTATCTAGAATCACACTGCTTTGTGGAGTCCTTTGTCTCTACCCTGCTGGACTAGCCCCCATGATTGAATTGACATGGGGCTTCTTGCTCATGTGTACTGTGCCCTCAGATGTTTATTAACTGTTAATTTACAGCCTTACATCACAATGTGGCTCTGTTGGATCCTGACCAACCCTTCCTAATTTCTGCTTTCTATCCCTGGGGAAACTAACTACTTTCCCTCTAACTTCAATTCCATTCCTCATTTATGGATGTTGCCTTTCATGCTAGAATCTGGCTCTGACCTCCAGCTTCTCTCTTTGACTGGGTGTCATATTCCTCTTACTGATGATACTACACTTGGCCTTTTTGGGTAACCCTTCCCCTGGTTTAATCTCACCATGGGTGCTTTTATCTCGGTGCAGTCTGTACCCTCAGTCCTGTGAACAAGCCTCAGAAAGGCAGTCCTGAGCAAACAGAGCACCATCCTCCTGCCTGAGCACAGAGATGGATTTGAGGGCTTAGGCCTTATCCTTTATCTCAGGGACTCAGCACATGCTGTAGAAAGCAAGCATCATGGTGGTCCACATGACCACTGCAGTTTTATCATGCGCCAGCCTGCCTGTTGTTCTGACCAGCATCTTGCTAGTAGTGCCAAGTGATTGGGGAGGTTGAAGGCCTCCTTCTTCTCTGAGGCCATGTGGCAGTACTCTTGAGAAAATACAGCCTCTAGCAGTGTGGGTGAGGAGGAGAGGGACTGGAGTTTGGGCCCCTGCCTGTGTTAGGCTGAAGGAGGGCTGCAGGCAGGAGGGTGAAGATGTGTACTGAACTGTGCCTGGTATCTGCCTCCATGGTTGGGGAAAAATCATAATGAAGGCAGGAACTCTAGTAGCTTGACTCAGAAACTCCAATTCCTTCACACATATTTCTGGTTACCCTTGTTTCTTGAGAGTTTGCTGTCAAGAAAAACCTTATGCACAGAGTCACTGCGTAAGAATGTGTGTGTGTGTGTGTGTGTGCGCGCGCGTGTGTGTGCGTGCGGCTGAGAGAGGGAGAGAGGCCCACATATAGCAGCTCGCTTCATCTGCCTCTCTCTGACCTGTTTTGTCTGCTCATTTCTCTTTCTGTGTCTCTCTGTGTCTTTTCTCCGACTCTTTACTCTTCATCTCTTACTGTTTCCATCCTTGGTCTCTGTTTCTTTTGTCTCCACTTCTTCCCTTTTTGGGACTCAGTTGCTCCAGTTGTCAGTTGTGCCCACAGCAGGGCCAGGGTTAAGAGCAAGGGAGTCCTCATTTCGTCATTTGTCTCCCCACTCCAGTTACAATTCGTTCTTACACATCTCATTTCCACTTCCTTCCAGAGTGAATCTGAATTTCTGGCCCAGTGATCTCCAGACCTGGAGCCTTTGCTGTCAGTGGCCTCTCTGCCCTCTGTCACCCTGTCTGTGTGGCTGCATCTCACTCTTTTGTTGTCCCATCTTGGTCTCTTGGTCTTGGTTCTTGGTGGTCTTGTTTCTGTCTCTGGCCTCGGCGTGGTTAAGGCTCTGGGAAAGACCAGTTCCCATTCCTGCCTGTTCCCCTGGATGCTGAGAGTGCTCGGCTGTGCGATGGGCATGCGAGGCCTTGGAGGAGGAGGGAAGAGACACAGGAGGGAAGGCCCAGCAGCCACCGCACGGCTTCCCTCTTCAGCCGCCCACGGCTCTCTCACTCTCAGGAGATGCTCTTGCTCGTGCTCCCCAGCGAACACGGGACACGACCACAAACCCACGTGCCCGCCTGTCTCTGCCACACAGCCTCCCACTTCCTCAGGTGTGGGTGGGGCATCCCTCCATCCTCCTGTCAAAGGCCGATCTTTTCCCCTTGCTTTGAGTCCTAGCCCGACCTCCGTTCTCCACCCCCTGCTCTGCTACTGCCCTCTCTCGCCTGCCCCTCAGGTAGATGCTTTTTGTTGACTTCAGATATCTTCCACCCTCTGCCCTGTTAGAGCAAACAGAACTCCTCTCGACCCCACCTTTCCCACCGCACCTCAGGGCCCCTCTGATTCCTTTTGTTGCTGAGCTTCCTGAAAGCTTTGTCTATACATGTTAACTCCGCTTCTTCACCTCCTATTGTCTCTTTGCTAAATTAAATTTTATTTTATTAAAGTAATACCTGCTCATGGTTTAAAAAACCAGTTAGCATTAAAAACCTTATGCTCCCAAACAGTAGTTCTCCTTCCACTACAGCCACCCTGAGGCGGCTGCTTTAGATTTTTAACTGTTTCTTCTTACGTCTTTGTGCTTCTAAATAGTAACTATACACTGTTACATTTTGATTCACTAGTTTTAGGTATTATCCATTGCCTTCCTATTCTAGTACATTTCACCACCATCCTTTCAGTGTGGTTATAGTATAGATTTTAGTTACATCAGTATTCAGGGGTTACATTATTCTTTCTTTCTTTTTTTAAAAATATATTTTTTTTACATGATTATTTCTATGCAAATATTATTCACACCTGAATATTGTAGTTTACTATTATGTTTCCTGTCTTATTTTCATGTTTTCCCTATACTTAGTCATTTCCTTATCTTACTTCCATTTCTCTAGTTTTCTTGGGACTTACTGCTAATTCTCCCACCTTCTCAGAGCTGCTCAGTAGGCTCTTTCAGAAGGCCAATACATCAGTTAACCTATCAAACCCTTTTTATTTTTCCTTGTAGACATTCTTTCTGGAGAAACCCATTCTCCTTCTGTTGGGGATTTTGGGGATTGTCAGCTCTCTAGGCCAGTTGATCAGCTTCCTTCTAGGAATTTGTTTGGTTTCTTGTTTGTGGAGCTCCTGTCTTCTTTTTCATTTGGTGGCATACATGCTCCAGTGGTTTCAACAACTTGAAGAAGCAGTGCAGTGGCCAAGGACATGGTGGTGACAGCACTACGTCTCTCTAGTCAAACTGCCCCAGTCTTGACTGGGGTCAAGTTGTAGAAGAGGATGAGGGGTTTCAGGGAGGGAGCCAGAGAGTACGCTGGGCTTTTTTTTTTTATCTTGTTGACAGAAATGTTCATGCCTTTAGCCTCTCCTGTGTTTCTCAGCTTTAACATATGGATAAATGAGGTCAAATTCTCCCCTGGTGAGCAGTCGCTCATCCCACTGTGTGGGTGTTGCTGCTTCACAGAGGCTTTATCTGTTCCAGCCCCACAAGTATTAGGGCCTGTTAGGTATTGAACGGTAGGTGTCTGGGTGGTCACACCTATAATTTTTAATATGAGCACCACCAAACAGAAGTGATCTAGTGGGTTTGGGCTAAGAGGACTCAGGCCTGACCTGCAGAGCTGTTAGACCAAAAAAAGAGATCTGTTACGTCTCAGTCCCCAGACCTTGCTTGCTGGGCTCCTGCATTAGGGAGCTGAGTCATCCCTGGCTTAGTGCCAGACCCCCAAAGCTGAACTGGGGTGAACAGCCTAGACTGGACATCTTCTTCTCAGGTTCTATGTTATCTTCTCTTTCCTGAACTAGCTTTGCCAACATCAGACATTCGTAAGGGAGCCCTGAGTCTTATCATGCGACCTGAAGCTTTGCTGTAAATTGTTCCTGCTTGAATAGGCCTGCTTCTCCAAGCTGGCCAACAACTTGCAGGCAAAGTCCCTTGTAGCCTAACATGTTCCTAACACTTCCACTCTCCTGTCAGTATGTAGTCAAAACACTGATATTTGAATCTCAGCAACTCTCCATTTCCAAATACTCTTGAGTACTCAGACATGGTACTACTGACATGGATTCCCCATTGGCTTTAGATCACAGTGTAATTCTGGATTCCAAGAGCTTTTTGTTAGTTGTTGCTTTTCTTCTTCCAAAGACTGCCATCCTGCCAACATTTTAGTTCTATATTTAAAACATAACACAAAATCTTGCTGTCCTTTCCCTGCTACTTTAGTATCTATAAATGTTTCCAGTTTCTGGTAACATTTAGCCTAACTTTCTGGTTTCTGAGTGTGTTTTCTATGTCTTTATCTTCTGAGTTCTCTCTGTCTCTCTCTATCTACCCAGGTCATAGACTACAGTGTAAATCCTGCCTCTTTGCCCAGTGGCCTAGCTCTGTAAAACTCTGGGAAACCATTTCTCTCTGACTGCAATATTTTTCATCTGGAGTAATATCCTGGACGGGCCTGTGATGATCAAAAAAGATAATATATGTAAATCACCCTGCACAAAGTGAGCACTTGAAAGTGGCTTTCCTCTTCTTATCATTGTGTGAACTTGTCTTCTTATCTGAATTAGAAGACTTCCAGCTTTGAAATCCTGTGTGTGACTGAGTCCATGTGGCTGATATGTAAAGGCCAGTGGGCTGATGAGGGTAGGCTTTTTACCTTCTTGCCATGCCTCAGCAGTCTGAGCAAATGTGCACTGTCTGTATAGGATCACACAGTCAGGGACAGGCTCACTTTTAAAACTTAAAACTTAAAAATAATTTTTTTCTTAACCCATCTGTCTAAGGAGGCATACAGGGACTAATAAACAAGGTGTGTGAGAGAGAGGGCAGGGAGAGAGAGAGAAATCAACACACCCAAAGAGGCAGGGGGGAATGACTAGGAAAATTCCCCTGCCATCTTGCCCGCTCGCCTCTCCCTGCCCTCCGCTCCACAGCTTGTCAAGTACCCGGAAAGCAGGGCGTGCTCGCCTTCCACCACTCTTCCCTCAGCAGCAGGCCTCTCCTCTCGTCTCTTCTCCAGGTCACTGGTGTGAACTCAACCTTCACCCCATCACCATGGCCCTGGCCCGTGACCCCCGGAAGACATTGCTCTGGGCCTTGAGTGACCTTGAAGAGGACAATTTCAAGATATTAAAGTTCCACTTAGGGAATATGGCCCTGCCTGAGGGCCAGCCCCACCTGGTCCGAGGGGAGCTGGAGGGCCTGAGTTGAGTGAACTTGGCCTCTGGACTGATTTCATGGTATGGAGCCCAGGAGGCTGTGAAAATGGTGCTCAAGGGCTTGAAGGCCATGAACCTGTTGGAACTCGTGGGCCAGCTCAGCCACATTTGTCTGAATGGTGAGTGTGGAGAGGAGGGTAGGCAGGATGGCACAGGGACCGTCCCCCATGTGCATTCTCTCACCCTTTCCTCTGCCCTTGCCTAGAAGTCTCCAATGCTCCAGGGCTTTAGGTGGCTTCCAGGTGAGGGTTCCAACAATGGTAAGGTGGAGGGCCCGAACCAAGGGTGAGAATTATTTGTAGAAAGACTACATACAATATCTTATAGCCATAATGCCCACCTCCGTTTGCCGTGCCACAGAAGCAGAGAGTACGAAGAAAGGGGCTTAGAGATCAGGTATAGTGTTAGTGAAGGGATTTCCATTAACCAGAAGAAATGGCACAAGGGTGTGGGGTCAGACCTGTTGCTAGCAGCTTCCTGGCAGGCAGCTGGGCTGCTTCCTACAGAGGGCATTCTTCTGTGTCGCTGCTCTCCCAAGAAACTGTGCTAGACAGTGGGTGGGCTTGGAACCCAAATGGTCTCCTGTTCCTTCTCGTGGGGTGCTGGGGGAGGAGGGAGCGATCTGTTTTGCCTGTGCTCCCTCCCATGGTCTCCTTTCATGCCTGCAACTCCCCTGCTATGTAAAGGTGGGAGGGTTCCGTGTACTCAAAGTCGTGGCTCCTGCTCAGAAACTGGTTTACCTTTAGCATCTGGCCTGTCCTTTTCCAAGAAGAGGCTCCTGTTCCTTCACTGTTCTCCAGCTTCCCCTTCTCCTTTCTCTGTCCTTGCCTCTCACATGGGGACACTTCACATGAACATGCAGACATTCACATATTCTCACACACAGAGGCTTTTGCACACACAGGTATTCTTACAAACACACTCCTGCTGATGCGCACTGACACGCTTTCCCTGCAGAGCAATACCCAGGCTTCTGTAAGCATATTCCCATGAGCACATGCAGAAACAAGCATTCACTTACACCCCACAAATATCCGCACACATGAAAGACACCGTTGCACACTCACACAGATGTGCACACACACTCTCATACACACCTACAGTGGCCCCTACTCATGAAGCCAGAACTTTAATCTTTAGGGAGATACAAGTTAGAGAGCAGAGTTTGAAGGGTCCATTTTGCCTTTTTTAAATTCCCATTTCACCACCTAACATCCTATTTGTTTGGCTCAGATTACAGGGAAATCTACCGAGAGTATGTGCGCTGCCTAGAGGAGACACAAGAAGGGGTACTCAACGGCAGTTACAACCGGCTGCTCCTGGTGCCCAAACCCCACTCAGGGAGCCTGGAATCACCTGCCTGCCCCATTCCCGAGCAGGAGCTGGACTCTGCTGTGGTGGAGGCTCTATTTGCTTCAGGAGAAAAGCCCTACCCCACCCACTCCTTAGTGGTGCTACAGGGGTCTGCTGGCATGGGAAAGACAACCCTCACCAGAAAAATGGTGCTGGACTGGGCTACTGGTACCCTGTATCCAGGCCAATTTGATTACATCTTTTATGTGAGCTGTAGAGAAGTGGTCCTGCTGCAGAAGGGCACACGGGAGCAGTTCCTCTTCTGGTGTTGCAGGGACAGTCAAGTCCCTGTCTCAGAGATTCTGAGGCAGCCAGAGTGGCTCTTGTTCATCTTGGATGGCTTTGATGAGCTGCAGAGGCCCTTTGAAGAATAGTTGAAGAGGCAGAGGTCTAGTCCCATGGAGGACGTGCTGTGCCTTCTAATTAGGAGACAGAAGCTTTCCACCTGCTCCCTTCTCATCACCACGCAGCCCCTGGCTTCATGGCATCTGAAGCCCTTGTTGGGCCAACCACGCCATGTCCATATCCTATGCTTCTCTGAGGAGAGGAGGAGGTATTTCAGCTCCTATTTCAGGGATGAGGAGCAAGCCAGAAATGTCTTTGGCTTTGTACAAGGAAATGATGTTCTTTACAAAGTGTGTCAGGTTCCAGGCATTTGCTGGGTCATCTGCTCCTGGCTGAAGGGGCAGATGGAGAGAGGCAAGGCAGTCTCCAAAACAACCAGTAACAGCACTGACATCTTCATGGCCTATGTCTCCACCTTCCTGCCGTCTGATGACAGTGGGGACTGCTCTGAGCTTTCCTGGCACAGGGTCCTGAGGAGTCTGTGCTCCGTGGCAGCAGAGGGGATCCAGTGCCAAAGCTTCCTATTTGAAGAAGCTGACCTCAAGAAGCACAATTTATTATTTATTTATTTATTTATTACAAATATTCATGAGATACAAAGCTGATTGTCAACCCTTCTGTCCACGATGTGGGGGCCAGATTCATACTGGGGGCATATCCATTACCAGAAATTACTTTTGTATCCTCTGTCCCCTCCCAATGATCCCCCAACTTCCCTCCCCTTCCCCCTCTCCCCTCAACTCCAATTTGTAGCCCTAGGAATGTTCCCTCCCTCTGTTGGATCACGGCACTACTGTGGTCTTTCTTTCCTGCCTTCCTTTCTCTCTTAGCTCCCACATATGAGTGAGCACATGTGATATTTATCCCTCTGTGCTTTGCTTGTTTCACTCAACATAAGTTACTCCAGGTTCATCCATGTTGTTGCAAATGGGAGGAAGCACAATTTAGATGGCCCCAGCCTTGGTGCTTTCCTATGCAGCAGCAATTACCAAGAGGGACGTGACACCAAGAAGTTCTATAGCTTCCGCCACATTAGCTTCCAGGAATTTTTTCATGCCATGTCCTACCTGGTGAAAGAGGACCAGAGCCAGCTGGGGAAGGAGTCCCGTAGAGAAGTGAAAAGGCTGCTGGAGGTGAAGGAGCAGGAAAAGAATGAGGAGCTGACCCTCAGTATGCAGTTTTTATTGGACATATTGAAAAAAGAGAGTTTTTCCAACATGGAGCTAAAGTTTTGTCTCAAAATTCCTCCCTGGATGATGCAGGATCTGCAGCATTTTAAAGAACAAATGGAATCTATAAAGCATAACAGGACCTGGGATTTGGAATTCTCTCTGTATGACCTTAGTAAAAAGAATCTCGCAAAATGTGTTCAGATAAGTGATGTATCATTCAAGATGAAACACTCAAACGAAAGGCAATCCCATATCGGGAAGTCATTTTCTATTAAGACCAGCTTAAGTAGCGGACAGAAAGAGAAGCAAAAATGTCCTCTTGAGGGCAAAGGCGATATGGCAGTGATGCAAAAGGCAGATGGACAAAGGAACCAGACAAAGAAGTTAGGAGCAGTGGGATGGGAAAAAGAGAAATGAACAGTAAAGCTAAAGGATCAGGAGGATGGTGGGGTAGAGGGACAGGAGGATTTGGGAAAGACAGAGAGTAAAAATGGATGGAAGACGGGAATGATCAGACCAATGAGCACTAGGAGTGAAGGACAGAAGAACAAATAGGGAAGATAATTAGATAACAGAGGGTCAAAGACTTGAAACATAGGGTGGGGAAGTTCACGTAGAATGAATCCTTAGGAATAACACACTTACTACCAAGTTCAGTTGTTTAGCATCTCCTGTCCTGTTTGTAACCTCCTGTAGTGTGAAGTCCAGTTTCAGTAGATCAGACAAGATTGGGCGCATTCAGGACGGTATGTTGTAGATGACATTCGGCTTTCATAAAATAAAGCCTTTAATATAATAAAATGGGATTGTGTGCATTGTATAAGATATGGATAAATGTGGTCCATATCAATGTCATCATTTAAAGGTAGTATTATACTGTGGCAAAATGGAATGCCCCTTTGACTCTGTATTTGTGATCAATTGCTGCTTAAATCAAGAGTATCTTCCCATTTGTCCTAGAAACTTCTAGAAATTCCATGTGTGGGGAATGCAAGCCATGACTTGTCACAGACTTGACTTCCAGCCTTGGAAGCTTTACTGTGACTTGACTTAGCTCTAGATTAATAAAATGTCACTGTTATCCCCCAGCTATGCCATTAACTGACTTTTTTTTTTTTTTTCAAAGATCAGCCACTTCCAAGCACTAACTCATGATCTTTTTTCTGCTTTGGTTCCCTCTGTATAGAAAAGAAGAAGAAGAAAAAGAATTCTAGATGGAGATGCAGTCAGTTCTCAACCCTCATTTCATAGATGAGGACATTGGGGTTCAGTCAAGAGCCCCATTGATTTCTGGGATTCCTCTGAGTGATCTCTTAGTTCCCACACCTCAGCTACAGTGTAAAGCCCACAAAGACTCTGTGCAGGCACCTCAAGCCCACCACTGCCCCAGTGGTTGTTGCTGACTCCAATGCAGCTGAGAGTGGGACCCTCAGAGCCCACAGAAAGGCTATGGTCACTTCTCTTTTTGCCTTTCACACATTTTTATTGCTGTTACGACTCCACGTGTACCAGCTCCAGCAATCTGCTGGACATGCCTAGACATTTGAATCCAAGGGAACTCAGCCTTGAGTGGTCAACTCAGTACCTCATGACACTAATTATTATTAACTACTCTTCACACAAGAAATTTGGTAGCTCAACATTTGGTAATTATACACATGGCATGTTGAACACATGGATTGTGTGTATATACAGAACACGTGTAAGAAACAGGCTGTCGGCGCATGTACTTATTTAAAGAGCAGTTCATACTGGATTACTGAAGAGGCTGGTTGGCATGCGTTAAGTTATGCTGTGCGGCCTCTTAGAGGGCTCCGATGTTCTCAGCAGACCAACTTCAGAATGTCATAGAGAATTTTGGAACAATGAAACAAGTACCCAGCCACATCCCTGCATTTCCATGGGACCCAAGGAAACCTGTTTAAAAAATGTGAATCTAATATCCAACTGAAGTTTAGACATGTTATTTCACTTAGGATTCACATTTAATTCTAACTAACTTAAGCAAAAATTAAATTACACGCATTAGAAAGCAAACCAAACCAAAACAAAAACCCCGATTTCTAGTTTTAGGTACTGCTGGCTCTGTCTAACAATCTCATCAGGGCTTTCATTCTCTCTCCCCTCGGCTGCTGTGTTCATAGTTACCTTCTGCTCTTACGTCAGAGAGCCACCTTCATGTATCAGAGAAGATGGTCACAGTCAACAACCCCAAAGGCGGAGAATAGTCTTTATTAATAGTTCTAGCAGGGAAATTGGGGGAGATTCTGGCCTGACCCTGGGTATGTGCCGAGCCTTGAACAGTCACTATGGTCTAGGAGATAAAGTTCTCTGAGTGTGTAGGCCTGTATTACATTCCTAGGTTACGTGCCTAGGTCACATGACTATCCCCCTAGATCACATGGCCATACCCCCAAGGCCTGGTGAGAAAAGATCAGCACCTCCTGAAACACATGGAATGGGGGAATGCCTTCCCAAAGAAGGAATTTTGTGTAGACAAAATAATATGTCACACAGATACAAGCGAGTCGGATGGACTGGGGTATTCTGAGGGGGCTGAGTGAGAGGAAGAGGCACTGTGTGTAGAAGTGTGGAAAATGAGCTACGCCAGGCTCCAGAGCCTGGTGGCTAGAGGAAGCAGTGATTCCAGGTGCAGGGAGAGGCTGGGCTCACATGTTTCTTACTTAGCTTCTCTCTGGGGCGGTGGGGAGCATGCGCCATGGGGAAGAGTAGGCTGTGGCCAAAAGTGAGGAACTCTTCCTAGGGAACAGCTGTGGGAACCCCTTTTGAAAGAATGGGGTTCAAGGGTGGCAGGTGTAGGAAGGTCATCAGACAAAATGCGAATGCCCAGTTAAATTTGAATTTCAGAGAAACAATGAATAATTTTTAAATTTATTTTGCACGGGACATACTTATACTAAAAAATGATTTGTTGTTTATCCAAAATTCAACTGTACCTGGGCTTCCTGTATTTTTATATGCTCAATCTGGTGACCCTAAGTAGAGGAGGTTGGTTGTGGAGCGAGCAGCAGCCATGAGCCTCAGGGAGTAAGACATCTGCTGCTGTGGCTCTAATGATTCCTGAAATCCTTCACTTCTCCTCCTTACCTGGGAATCTTAAATGGAAAGTGGTCTCTAGTAGAACTCGCAAACTTGTGGAGTTCCTGTGGGGGGCAGGTTTAAAATGTGAACACTTCTGAGTATTCTAGGAATATGTAGGGAGGGTTCCCAGAAAAAGACCCAATTTATGTTAGTGAATATGTGGCAGCTTTGAGTTCGGGTCTGTGTGCTCCATGTGGCGTAACTGCCTTCATGGTTGGGTGAAGTCTGGGGCATGGTTGGGGAGCGAACGGCAGGGAGTACACCAAGTCAGCTACGAGTGAGGCGGGTCGGCACCTACAGAGAAAAGTCACCCAACTCTGCTGTACCTCTGCCTAGAGATCCTGAAGTTTTAGGACGTTCTCCATGTTTCCTGCTTTTATTCTGTCTGTTTCACATCAGTATGTGGACAGATGTGGATAAAACTGGAATTAAGCTCACTAGACACAAGGTAGTGAACAGAAAACAGGGTATAGGTTTTTATCCCTCCCCAGGGACACACAGGCACTATCACACCTAAACCTTCCCTTCCTAAATACAGTGTGGGGATAACCTCTTTTTCCTTTTCCATTATTCCAAGATTTCTGTCCACTTCTCTGAAAAGGGGTTTGCATTGCTGCTGTCTTTCCTAAGGAACCCTTTTAGGGTTATTTTTGAATACGATGAACCTCATTTTTAGGATTACTTCTGAATTCCTTTGCCCAAGGCTTGGGCTATTCCCCACTTGGAAATGAAGCTCTGATATATCTCTCTGTTTAAAGTAACTAGAAGTTTTCTGTTATTGCTAAAATTTCTTATGCAATCACAGAAAAAGGTCTGTGGAAAACTGGGCTCCCTTTTTTTTATGTAAAAGGGGGTTTTGGATTCCTAGAGGGTCAGAGACTGTGACCTTGAGCATTCCCTCCTTGAAACTCTTCCTGTTGGCTGCTGGGACACTGTTCTTGTTTGATTTACTTTAGCTGTCACTAATCAACACCTTCTGAGTCTTAAGTGTTAGTGTTCCCTGTGATTCTGTTTTTGGCCCTTCTCTCTTCTAATATCCTAACTTTAGGGATGCTCCCTGTTGCTAGTGATGTTACTGAATCTATATGCCAATGATTCCTCCAATCTAGAGCTCAAGTTTCTCTTCTCAACTATATATCCATGCCAGTTAGTTATTCCTTTTGGGGAAGCCTAATATTCAACAATTGGAATAAAGTATGCTGGAAAATCAGCTTGATAAGTAGAGAATTAAAAAGCAACAAACTTTTTAATCTTTCTCCCTTTGTCTTCCTGTTCAGAATCCTTTATGATAGAGAATATCTTCTATCCTATATTTTTCCTGCTTATTTTAGAGAGGGATTTTGGAATCATTTCCAGGAATTGTTTTTACAGCCTAAAGCTGTAGGGATAGAGACATGTAACAAAGGCAGGAACCATGCAAGTTGAATTTGCCATGATATATCTAGAGCCTTGCAAAGTCCTGGAATAGAGAAGTGTGTAATAAAGGTTTACTGAGTGCATGAAAGTCTAGGGACATCTTTGTTATCAATCTGGAATAAAGATAAGTTTATGTGAGGGTACTTCAAAAAGTTTGTGAGAAAATGGAATTAAAAGATAATACAAGTCTTTCTATGAACTTTTTGAAAACCCCTTGTACAGTTAAAGATTTTGATACATGGGTGCTGGAAATCAGGAGAGGAAAAGTAGAAACTTGTAGTTACTTGCCAAGAGTCCACCAGATGGAAATGATGTCTGGGTGTGGATTTCACCTACAACAAAAGCAAATGGAACAAAGGAACTTATATTGGTGTTATAAGCATGTCAGAGTTATGCAGGGGATAATACAGCATTTTCAATGGGCTAGAAGTGATAAGCATAAATTACTTATACTCATTATTACTAGTTGGATAAAAATGTCATTGATGTGTGAATCAGTGTGGTTTTGGAAAGATTAGGGATACTCAGTGACAATTGAGTAAATTTGGTTCCAAATACTGGATCTGCCACTTTCTAGCTATGTGCCTTTGTCACATTACTTATCCTTCCCAAGAATTAGTTCTAAAAAATGTATAAAATGAAAACAGTAATATTTATAATTTAGGGAGATTAGGGCTTAGAACTGTTACTATTACTACTGCTGCCGCCGCCGCTGCTGCCGCTGCTGCTGCGAGAGGAGCAGAAACAATGACAATAATAAAAGCTGGCACATTATTTCTTCAAGATGGCGGTGGCTGCGGTGGTTGGCGCTGAGAAGCTGAGGTGGAAAAGGTGGACACTGGGCCTTAGGCAGCTGGGAAACTTGTGGACCTTCCTCTTGCTGTCTCTTAAGGGAGGACCGCTGCTGGTGGCCGGTTGTGGGGGCTGACCGCCACTTTGCCCTTGGCAGGAGAGGCTGCCTCATTTACAGGCAATAGCTTTGAAGTGTGGAGCAGGAAAAGAACTGTTTCTTAGCTGCAAAAGCGAGTTTCTAAACAGGGAAC